GCTCCCCTCCGCCCCCCGGCCCCGCCTGGGTGGCGGCCCGGGACCCTGGTTCCGCAGGGGACCCGGCAGCTGGGCCCTGGGGAATGGCTCCTCCTGCCCCGGCCTCCGTTGCTGGCTCCTGGCCGCCGCCCCGCTTCCCTGACACGTGTCTGCTAAGTGCAGGTGTTGCCGGATGGACGTGCCGAGAGGCTGTTGGCTGCAACCCGAGGGCAGGGCCCTGCTCCCTTGTAACGCTTGGCCTGTGGGACGCAGAGTTCGCACGGCTGCGTTTCAGTGTCACCCCGGCAGCGTGAGGCTGGGTTTGTAAGTGCTGGGCTCCAGTCTCCCCGCTGTGCTAATGCATCTGTACTGCGCTGTGTCCCTGACTTAGGTCTGCCCGTCCCCTTGGACGTGAGTCTGAGCAGAAGTTGCCCCCTGATCCCGGCAGGGTTCTAGGACCTGGATCCTGAGTGCTTGCTTACCTGTGCCAGACTGATTTGTGGTTGGCCAAAGAGGGTGTGGGCTCAAACCTGAGTCGGAGATTTGGCTTTCCTGTCCTGTAGGCATATTAGTGTCCTCTGGTGGATTCATAAATAGCTTAGTGGTGGTGTTGCATAGCCCCTCTCCTTGCTTCTTACTCAGAATTTTAAATATAACTGCAGTAGCAGTAATAAAAATGTTGATACTATTTAAAAAGTGGAAATTAAAATAGAATGTAGTTCTCTGCAGTATCTATACTGCAGTGCTTTGGTGAATGAAAGCCAAGGAGTGACTTGCCCAAAATTAAGTGGACTGATTGAGTCTTTCTGGCACTTATTCTTTCATTTCTCTCAGTTTTGATTAGCAACATTGTGAAAACTAAGGTATTATTTCTTAGGGAGATAAGAAAACATCAGGGTTGATTCTGAGCAATGCTTAACCCTGGTAATGCCTAGGGATCTTGGATAGCAATTAATTTAACTGCGTTAATGTAACTGCATCAAATTTTAGTTTTCATGATTATTGGCTAGGCCCCAAGGCAGGACTGGCAGCCAATGCACTCCTGGCCCTACTCCCGGGGAGCCCCCAGCCACCTCATGCTGCTGGCTCTACCGAAAAAGTCAGCTCCTGCCTGCCCCTCTCCCTGTGCTGGTGCTTCTGATACACAGAAGCACATGTAGACATCTGGCTCCATCTGCCCCATCACCCTCTGCACCACTGCTTCAGTATCTGAAGCAGCAGTGTGGGAGTGGGGGAAAACTCCCCATGGACACTTGTTCCTGCCTCCCCACCCCTCTTTGCTGCCTCTGTATCAGAGGCAGCAAAGGGGGGGAGTGGGTGTAGTCAATAGTATTAACTGATAAAATCAAGTTTCAGTTAATTGTGTAGTTGACTACACATTGCATCTCTAATAATGCTCCTTGGCGTAACTGGAAGGTTTGGGTGCTTAGGACTGCCTGAACTAAACTTTAGCCTTGAGCTGTTCTGTGAATAGTAGTCTTTCTGGGAAAGGGGGGACGGGACATGTATTGGAAATATTTGAATCTTTTCTGAAAGTGAGCATTGCTTTCCAGGAGTATGTCAGTGTTTGAAGTGCTTAGTAGAATTTCCTAGGGGGTATGATGTTGGGTTATTTGCCACCATCACTATATTATTAGAATGCCATTCAGTAGTACATGACTAACACCTGTCACATCTGGTTTGTTTTTACTCTCACTATTGCCTTTCCTGTTAGGGAGCTTTTTACCTCTTGTATGAATTGACATTTTCATACATGTGTGTCAGTTTCTGAGTTTTGTTACACACTACCATTTTTCATGTAACTTGGTGGAGAAGCTGGGCATCCCTGCTGTTAGTACAGTTGTGGGCTAATTTCATTTTAAAGGTATACAGCAAAATTTTATCTTAACCAAAGAGTGCTGTACACGTAGGTTTTAAAAACTAGACTTGAGTTTCAGATTTTAAAAATAACAATGTAATTTTTATTGGGTTTCCTAATTTTCCTTCTGAAATTTACTTCCCTTGCAAAAACTGATGACCTTAATTAGTGCTTACAGATATTAGAAGTGTAGTTGTATGTTGTCAGTTAAACTTTATATGTATACAGTAGGGCTGGCGATTAATGTGCATTAATGCTGGTGATTAACGCTGCCACAGTGTTTCAAAGGGGCAGCGCAGTAGGAGCCTGGAATCAGCTGGAGTCCCCAGCTGATTCGGGGCAGTGCTGCCCCTTTGAAATGCTGCCACTGTGCAGTGCTGTCTCTTTGTAGCACTATCCTGGTGTTTCAAAGGGTCAGAGCAACACAGCCTGGGATCCCATGGCGCTGCTCCTTTAAAATGCAGGATGGTGTTTCCAAGGGGCAGCTCTGCATGGAGCCAGGGTCAGCTGGGGACTCCAGCTAATCCTGGGCTCTGTGCAGCGCTGCCCCGTTGAAATGCTGCTGCTGAGTTTCAAAGGGGTAGTGTGAGCAGAGCCCAGGATCAGGTGGGGACTCCAGCACTGCAGGAACCCGGGATCAGCTGTCCCTTTGAAATGCGGCAGCAGCATTTCAACGGGGCAGCACGTGCGATTACTTTTATTAATAGCAATGAATTTTTTTAATCGCTTGATAGTCCTAGTATACAGTTTAAGCATATAGTCTGTTACTAATTGTTTCCTAAATAATTGTGCTTTTTATTTGATCCTTTGCCGTTTCATCTTTGTAGGGCAATTAACTGTTCTGTGAGAGCCATGAGAGAGACTCATACCACATGCAGTCTTAATTTTGCCTCCATGATGGAAGACTTCACGTCCTATATAGTGTGACTGGATTTCCACGTTTACAGTTGATTTTAATATGAATGGACTTTGTAACTTCTTTCAATCCATGGGAATCCAAGTCTCATGAGTGTTACAAAAGGGGCATAGACTAAGCAACATTTCACCACAGAATCCAGTGGTCGGTAGCACCCAGCAGAGACAGGGAGGAGAGTGAAGGATCAAATCATTTCCTCCCTATCTACTGCTCAGTTGCAGCAGAGCACTCCCATTCCTGAACACACAGCAACACCATTTTAAGCAGCTCTCATGAGCTCAGCACTGAGATTTTAATATATTTTATGCTCCACTGAAATGCAGTTTAAACTAATACAAATACTAAACTTTTTTAACAAGAAAAATGATTGGTATACAACATTGTCCATTAAGTCCATGTTTAAGTGCAGTAGTAATTAGCTGAATAACAAAACTGTTGTTTAAACCGTGAGCCTGTATACTTGTAGAACCTTACGGCAGTCTCTGGTAATAATTTATTACCTAGAAGATCTTTTTCAGCTGAACTGTATGGGGGAGGTGGGGAAATTGTTGTTTAATACAATTTAGTATTAATATCCAATTTAGTATTAGTGAGATCAGTGAATGACATGATTTTCTTCCATAAACAGAGCCAGGTAAAGGTATACAAGAACTGGAAAGAATCAAAAAAGCAATTGAGTCTGTCAAGACTGAAGTTGAAGAAGGGCAGAAGAAACTCTCACAATATAATATTCAAGATGAAATACCTAAAAACTCTTTGATATCTAAAACAAATGATGTTAAAGGAAATTATACTTGTGCAGATGATGATCTGTGTTCTCTTACAAAAAACTGTCTTGTAGCTCCAGTCTCAAAGTACTCAAAAAAAACCTGTCCTTTGGCATCCAGTAAATATGTGATTGACCATAGTTGTCCAACAACTGACCTTGAATACGATCCACTGCTAAATTATTCTGCAGGCCTACTCAGCTCTTCCATAATGAAAGAGGAAAATGATACACACCAATTTAAACAAGTGAAAATGCCTCCTGTTAATTTTCACATAGAGTCTCCGAAAATGTCTCTATGTGGAATTGGGCATAGATCCCCAAAGAAGAGATCAAGAAGCTCTTCACCTATAAAACTTGAAATAAAGCTCCAAGAATCTGATGATGATGATGATGATCTGGTTATTGATGTCCCACCACTGACTGTCACTAAGAAGCCAAGAATAAGTAGGAGCTTAAAAAATTGGAATAGGGAAGTAATGAAACAAAATCTTCAGAATAGTGACATAGCAGAAGATCCTCTTAAGTGTATTGAGAAAAAAAGTGAAGTTACTGTAATTTTGCAAAAGGATGACAAAACAAATGTAAGCAGCATTGAGAAATCACTGAAAACTTCACCAAAAACTCAAAATGCACATTTACCCAATGTGAAAATTAATGGTTTGAACTGTTCAGATAACATTAATGAACAAAGAAAATCTTTTATTGTCTCTCAGGAAAATAATTTATCTTCAGTTTCTCCTATTAAGGCACTGATGCAGAAAGAAACTTTGAAGAAAGATGATCCAAAGAGTGAAATATCAGTGAAAATATCTGATGTTGAAGAACTGGATAGTAGTAAATATAAAAACATACCAAGTTGCAAGAGAGGGGCACAGTCTAGTTTGTATTTTGAAAACCGCTCAAAAGACACAACTGTGATAACTACACAGGAGACTTTTAAAACATTGCCGGTAAATAAAGGGGAAAATCAGATTATACAAGAAAATGAAGTGTTGGGAAATGTATTCATCCATTCCAGCTCTCCCTTGAATTTGGATGAGAGAGTTTGTCGTGATGTACGCCTCTTGACTACAAACTGTAGTGGAGAAAATAATAGTAAAACTATGTGTACTACAATTGAAGAAAGTGAAGTAATTGTATTAGATTCTTCTTCAGAAGAAGAGAGAGAGTGTAGTGAAGAGGATACTGAACTTTCTGAATCTGCT